TGGGGGCCTCTTGGGCCAAATGGCTCGCATTTTCGGTTCCTCGTCCCCGTCTTGGGCGCCGACTTGGGGCGTCGTTGAGCGGTCTAGGGTCTCGTGGGCCGTCTTGGCCCCCTCGTGGGCCGTCTTGGGGCCCTCTTGGGGGCATCCTCGACCGTCTTGGGTGCCTCTTGGGCCGTCTTGGACGCAGTGGAAGCCCAAACGGCGAACACGCCAAAAATATCAGTTCTCCTATAGGAAATCAACGATGTTTGCTTATTTGGGGCCCTATTGGGGTACCTCTTGGGAGCCGGGGTCTCTTAAGGGCCTCTTAAGGCCTCTGGGGGGCCTCTTGGGGCCTCCTGGGAACCTCTTGGGGCATCCTGGGAACCTCTGGGGCCGAAAGCTCGGAATTTGAATATGCTTGTGCACCTCTGGGACCCCTCTGGGGCTCGTCTTGGGGCTCTCGTGGGCTGACTTGAGAGCCTCTCGGGCCGTCTTGGGGTCGTCTTGGAGCCCTCTTGGGAGCCTGTGGGGCAGTCTTGGGGGCCTCTTGGGCCGTCTTGGACGCAGTGGACGCCCAAAAGGCGAGCACGCCACAAATATCAGTTCCATGGGAAATCGACGATTGTTGCTTATTGGGGCTCCATTGGAGGGTCACTTGGGGCCTCTTCGGGAACTCTTTTGGTGGTTTTTCCGGTCTCATGGGGGCCTCTTGGGGCTTCTGGGCTCCTTCTTGAGCCTCTTGGGGTCTCCCGGGGGTCTCTTGGGCCAAAAGGCGCGAATGTCCGGTCCCCGTCTTGGCGCCGCCTTGGGGCCTTCTTGGGCGGTCTAGGGTCTCGTGGGCCGTCTTGGCCCCCTCGTGGACCGTCTTGGGGCCCTCTTGGGGGCATCCTCGACCGTCTTGGGTGCCTCTTGGGCCGTCTTGGACGCGGTGGACGCCCAAAAGGCGAGCACGCCAAAAATATAAGTTCTCCCATGGGAAATCGACGATTGTTGCTTATTGGGGCTCTCTCGGGGTGCCTCTTGGGGCGTCTTCGGGGCCTCTTTTGGTGTTTTTTCGGGTCTCATGGGGGCCTCTTGGGGCTTCTGGGCCCCTTCTTGGAGACTCTTGGGGTCTCCTGGGGGTCTCTTGGGCCAACAGGCGCGAATTTCCCGTTCCTCGTCCCCGTCTTGGGCACCGCCTTGGGGCGTTCTTGGGCGGATTGGGCGCCTCGTGGGCTGTCTTAGCCCCCTCGTGGGCCGTCTTGTGGCCCTCTTGGGGGCATCATCGACCGGCTTGGGTGCCTCTTGGGCCGTCTTGGATGCAGTGGACGCCCAAAAGGCAAACACGCCAAAAATATCAATTTCCCCATGGGAAATCTAAGATTTTTGCTTATTGGGCCTCTCTCGGGGTGGCTCTTGGGGCGCCTTCGGGGCCTTCTTGGCGTCATGGGAGTCGTCTTGAAAGACGTCTGGAGCCATCGCTGCGGCCTCCTGGGGCCTCCCTGCAGCCTCTTGGGGCCCTGTTGGCCCCGGGTCGCCCAAACCCCGTAAAAAAACACAGAAAATGACGCCACACATTTGTGGTATGGGCGCTGGCCCCCGGCCCCCGCATCTGGTCCCCTGTTTTTTATATATGCCTTGGGACATCCCGTCAGGACGGCTGGCCGCGAAGCGTAGTGAGCCGAGCGCCGAAGAGAATGAGAGCCCCACGGAGGCCGCGCGCTGAGTCCTGCAAGATTCCACCAGCCCAGGGGGCAGAAGTGGTCGAGATTGTCCCGCATTGGGGTCAACAGGGCAGCAGCTGCGGGCCTCGAGGCTCGTCGCGCTTTGCAGGACTACGTCACGCGAGATGCACCTACAAACGCTGCAGGTTGTCGGCCGCCAACTCGTCACTGACGAGCTCGCGGGCCCCGTGCGCATGGAGGTCATCGCTCATGTCGTCCTTCTGCTGCAGCATGTCCGCACACATCTTGTCGAAGGATGAAGCAGAGATGAGGTGGCACTTGCGGTCGACCTGCCAAGTGATGGGGCTGTACGCGGAACACATCTCGTTGTCGCGGCTCGTGCCTGTGGTCGAGCCCGTGTAGTAGGCGATGTCTGCGCCGAAGCCTTGGGCGCCGAGCGGGTCCATGATCATGCCCCTCATCAGGTCGGGGTAGAAGTAGTCCTCGTCGTTGACGATGACGAACACTTGCGCCTGCACCCCGACCTTGTGCTGAAGCTCTCCGGCAAGGTAGGTCGCCCCCCTGCAGAAGACTCCATCGTAGAAGGGCGTCTGGTACTGAAACGGGGTGCCGCAGGCGCCGGCGGCCGAGTGCGGCCAGTGCACCTCGTAGGTCTCGCCGACGTGCATGCCGACGCAGTACGCCCACTCGTACTCGGTTGTGAACTTGGGGTCGGCCTCGTCGAAGTGGTGGCACTGGAAGCCGAGGCGGGCTACTGCCAGGCGCCGCGTCAGGTCCTCTGCGCCATCATCCTCCTCGGAAAAATTCCTGCCGGTGCCGTCCTCGTCGAACTGGCCCACGGAAAGGTGCTCGGCTCCGTAGTGCCAGTGCACGTTGACCGGGCAGAGGCCCCCCTCGAGGTACGTCAGGTTCCAAGGTGTGGCATCGACGGCCATGCCGCCCATGTAGCCCTCGGTGACATTGGCGCCGGCCTGCTCGACGGCACCAACGATTGCGTCGGCGCAAGGGAAATTGTCGAAGCCGGAGGCCGTCGGCTTCGTGCCTTCGCATGGGTTGGCCGTGGTGATGACGCTCGTGTCTGGCGCCGGGATGATCTGGTAGTTGGCGACGTCGAAGGTTGCATCCGGCTGGCCGCAGCACCCCGCATCCTTGTACATGTCCTTCACAGCCCCGCACGTGTAGCCAGCGGGGCCATCGGCGCCGAGGGCCATCGGCACCGAGCCGAGCGCCGCGAGCCACCCCAGTGCGGCGGCGGACTGGTGCTTGTGGCCGGACAGCGCGAGCGCGAGCGAGAGAACCAGCGGGGCGGACCTCGACGCGCCGCTCGTGGGCAGCTCCTCGTCGGGGTCCGTCGTGGTTGCGTCGCACAGGTCTGAGTCGGCGTCGTCTGGGCAGCCAGTGCCGAGCGCGGGCCACATGAGCACCCCGAGCAGGACCGCCGCCGCCAGGGGGGACTTGCGTGCCGAACCCATACTGGCGCTCTGGTGCGCCGGGATCCTCTCTCGCGCACTCTTGCCAGAAACAGCTGAGCCGAAACGACCACGGAGGGTCGTGGGATCCTGCTACCCTTTCCAACTCTCTCCAGGGTCGACGACGCTCAAGGGGGACCCCGGATCCGTGGCAAGGGGGCAAGGTCTCCAGGACCTCCCCCTCTCACCGCGCGAACTCCCCCCTCTACAGGTGGACGACCTATCCTTGCACATTCCAAATCCAAAACGACAGAGAGCAGAGTTGTGGCTTCCGTCCCGGTGGGCACCCATTCCCTGACACCCTCCAGCTCCCCACAGGCCGCTCCAAGATATCCGCCGACCCGGCGTGTGAGTTTCTGAGAGCGTGGACTTGAGCTCGCTCAAGCTTCGCTCTGCAAGAGGGGGGGGGGACGCCATTCACGACGCCATTGAGTGCTCGGGAGCCAGCGGGGGGTCGCTCTGCAAGGGAGGGGGGGCGCCATTCCCGACGCCATTCGGTGCTCGGGAGCCGCGGGGGGGGTCGCTCTGCAAGGGCGCGGGGGGCGGGGGACGCCATTCCCGACGCCTTTCAGCGCTCGGGAGACAGGGGGGGTCGCTCTGCAAGGGGGGGGGACGCCATTTCCGACGCCATTCAGTGCTCGGGAGGGTTCGCTTTGCAAGAGGGGGGGTGGACGAGTGCTCGGGAGCTGGGTGGGGGTTCGCTCTGCAAGGAGGGGGGGGGGGACGCCATTCCCGACGCCATTCAGTGCTCGGGAGGTGGGGGGGTTCGCTCTGCAAGGGGGGGGGGGGGGACGCCATTCCGACGCCATTCCTCGATTCGCCAGGGGGGGGTTCGCTCTGCAGGGGAGAGGGGGGCGCCATTCTCGACGCCATTCAGTGCTCGGGAGCCGGGGGGGAGGGTTCGCTCTGCAGGGGGGGGGGTGGACGAGTGCTCGGGATCCGGGGGGGGGGGTCGCTCTGCAAGGAGGGGGGGGGTGGGAGGATGCCATTCCCGACGCCCTTCAGTTCTCGGGAGCCGGGGGGAGGGAAGGGTTCGCTCTGCAAGGGGGGGGACGCCATTCCTGGCGCCATGCAGTGCTCGGGGGCGGGGGGGCTTCGCTTCCGACGGTCCCAGAGGCCCCGAGACCGCGTCAAGACGGCTCAAGAGGCTCCCAAGACGACCCCAAAATGGCCCAAGAGGGCGCCCTCCACTTCCTCCTCCTCCTCCTCCTCCTCCTCCTCCTCCTCCTCCTCCTCCTCCCTCCTCATGCTCCTTCCTCGCTGCTCCTCCTCCTTTACCTCTCCCTCCTCCCTCATCCCTCCCTCCCTCCCCTCCTCCCCTCCTCGTTTCTCCCTCCTCGCCCCTACCTCTTGCCTCCACCTTCCTCCCTCCTTCCTCGTCCTCCCTCCTCCATCCTCTTCCTCCCTCCTCACAAAAGCCAAAATCAGCCTCAGGACGGCCCCTTATGAGATCCACAAGATGTGGAGACGGAAGACGCAGCATATAATGACCTACCTCGTCCTTTTCATTCTCTTCATCATAACCGTCGTCATCAACATCCCAACCACCATCACCATGGTCAACGTCATCATCATTTTCATCATCATCAAAATCATCAGTGTTATCATCATCATCATCATCATCATCATCATCATCATCATCATCATCACCATCACCATCACCATCATCATCATCATCATCATCAGCATCAGCATCAGCATCAGCATCAGCATCAGCATCATCATCATCATCATCATCATCATCATCATCATCATCATCCATCATCATCATCATCATCACCACCATCATCATCATCAGCAGCAGCAGCAACATCAGCATCATCAGCATCCTCATCATCATCAACATCATCATCATCATCATCGTCATCATCACCATCCAGAGCGACCCAGATCGGCGGCACTGGCCTGAGGCCAGCACAATCCAGCCTGGCCAAGACTCGAGCCGAGCCCAGCCATGGTGAGGAGCAGCAGCCGCGTAGCAGTGGCTTATGCCAGTAGACATGGCGCGGACTGAGAGGAGGGGCAATCTGTATGATTCTGGCGCAGGGGAAGTTCATTTTGGAATGGCAAATGGGAGGCTGTAAAGCAACCACCGAAACCACAGGCTGTCTCTGCAAGATCCTGATGGCCCACAGGGCCATACGGATCGAGATTGGCGCACATTGAGGCCAACAGATCAGCTGTGCGGCGCGAGGCTCTTCACAGTCGACGTGGGAACCAACGTCTGAAAGCGCTAGAAGCTTCAAGTCCTGCGCGGCTCGAATTAGGTGGGTCATGCAGTCATGCAACTCGAGTCCCGAAGAAGGCCAGGGTATGGAGGGCGAGGACACGGGGAGGGCTAAGAAGATACAAATCCGCAACAAAAACAACCTCCACCAAAATCCACGAGTCCCTGTCGGGACTTCCAAGCTCTGAGCATGTTTGGAGTACAGCGCTGCTGCAATCAGCATGCCCTGAACCTTGAGGAAGGATGTCGTTTCCTGCAACTCTACTCACAGCCGTTTTCTGGGCGTTGCCCATTATCCCACCATGGCTTGGGACATCCCGTCAGGACGGCTGGCCGCGAAGCGTAGTGAGCCGAGCGCCGAAGAGAATGAGAGCCCCACGGAGGCCGCGCGCTGAGTCCTGCAAGATTCCACCAGCCCAGGGGGCAGAAGTGGTCGAGATTGTCCCGCATTGGGGTCAACAGGGCGGCAGCTGCGGGCCTCGAGGCTCGTCGCGCTTTGCAGGACTACGTCACGCGAGATGCACCTACAAACGCTGCAGGTTGTCGGCCGCCAACTCGTCACTGACGAGCTCGCGGGCCCCGTGCGCATGGAGGTCATCGCTCATGTCGTCCTTCTGCTGCAGCATGTCCGCACACATCTTGTCGAAGGATGAAGCAGAGATGAGGTGGCACTTGCGGTCGACCTGCCAAGTGATGGGGCTGTACGCGGAACACATCTCGTTGTCGCGGCTCGTGCCTGTGGTCGAGCCCGTGTAGTAGGCGATGTCTGCGCCGAAGCCTTGGGCGCCGAGCGGGTCCATGATCATGCCCCTCATCAGGTCGGGGTAGAAGTAGTCCTCGTCGTTGACGATGACGAACACTTGCGCCTGCACCCCGACCTTGTGCTGAAGCTCTCCGGCAAGGTAGGTCGCCCCCCTGCAGAAGACTCCATCGTAGAAGGGCGTCTGGTACTGAAACGGGGTGCCGCAGGCGCCGGCGGCCGAGTGCGGCCAGTGCACCTCGTAGGTCTCGCCGACGTGCATGCCGACGCAGTACGCCCACTCGTACTCGGTTGTGAACTTGGGGTCGGCCTCGTCGAAGTGGTGGCACTGGAAGCCGAGGCGGGCTACTGCCAGGCGCCGCGTCAGGTCCTCTCCGCCATCATCCTCCTCGGAAAAATTCCTGCCGGTGCCGTCCTCGTCGAACTGGCCCACGGAAAGGTGCTCGGCTCCGTAGTGCCAGTGCACGTTGACCGGGCAGAGGCCCCCCTCGAGGTACGTCAGGTTCCAAGGTGTGGCATCGACGGCCATGCCGCCCATGTAGCCCTCGGTGACATTGGCGCCGGCCTGCTCGACGGCACCAACGATTGCGTCGGCGCAAGGGAAATTGTCGAAGCCAGAGGCCGTCGGCTTCGTGCCTTCGCATGGGTTGGCCGTGGTGATGACGCTCGTGTCTGGCGCCGGGATGATCTGGTAGTTGGCGACGTCGAAGGTTGCATCCGGCTGGCCGCAGCACCCCGCATCCTTGTACATGTCCTTCACAGCCCCGCACGTGTAGCCAGCGGGGCCATCGGCGCCGAGGGCCATCGGCACCGAGCCGAGCGCCGCGAGCCACCCCAGTGCGGCGGCGGACTGGTGCTTGTGGCCGGACAGCGCGAGCGCGAGCGAGAGAACCAGCGGGGCGGACCTCGACGCGCCGCTCGTGGGCAGCTCCTCGTCGGGGTCCGTCGTGGTTGCGTCGCACAGGTCTGAGTCGGCGTCGTCTGGGCAGCCAGTGCCGAGCGCGGGCCACATGAGCACCCCGAGCAGGACCGCCGCCGCCAGGGGGGACTTGCGTGCCGAACCCATACTGGCGCTCTGGTGCGCCGGGATCCTCTCTCGCGCACTCTTGCCAGAAACAGCTGAGCCGAAACGACCACGGAGGGTCGTGGGATCCTGCTACCCTTTCCAACTCTCTCCAGGGTCGACGACGCTCAAGGGGGACCCCGGATCCGTGGCAAGGGGGCAAGGTCTCCAGGACCTCCCCCTCTCACCGCGCGAACTCCCCCCTCTACAGGTGGACGACCTATCCTTGCACATTCCAAATCCAAAACGACAGAGAGCAGAGTTGTGGCTTCCGTCCCGGTGGGCACCCATTCCCTGACACCCTCCAGCTCCCCACAGGCCGCTCCAAGATATCCGCCGACCCGGCGTGTGAGTTTCTGAGAGCGTGGACTTGAGCTCGCTCAAGCTTCGCTCTGCAAGAGGGGGGGGACGCCATTCACGACGCCATTCAGTGCTCGGGAGCCAGCGGGGGGTCGCTCTGCAAGGGAGGGGGGGCGCCATTCCCGACGCCATTCAGTGCTCGGGAGCCGCGGGGGGGGTCGCTCGGCAGGGCGCGGGGCTGGGACGCCTTCCCGACGCCGTTTTCAAGCGCTCGGAGACAGGGGGTCGCTCTGCAAGGGGGGGGACGCCATTTCCGACGCCATTCAGTGCTCGGGAGGGTTCGCTTTGCAAGAGGGGGGGTGGACGAGTGCTCGGGAGCTGGGTGGGGGTTCGCTCTGCAAGGAGGGGGGGGGGGACGCCATTCCCGACGCCATTCAGTGCTCGGGAGGTGGGGGGAGTTCGCTCTGCAAGGGAGAGGGGGGGGGGACGCCATTCTCGACGCCATTCAGTGCTCGGGAGCCGGGGGGGAGGGTTCGCTCTGCAAGGGAGAGGGGGGGGACGCCATTCTCGACGCCATTCAGTGCTCGGGAGCCGGGGGGGAGGGTTCGCTCTGCAGGGGGGGGGGTGGACGAGTGCTCGGGATCCGGGGGGGGGGGTCGCTCTGCAAGGAGGGGGGGGGTGGGAGGATGCCATTCCCGACGCCCTTCAGTTCTCGGGAGCCGGGGGGAGGGAAGGGTTCGCTCTGCAAGGGGGGGGACGCCATTCCTGGCGCCATGCAGTGCTCGGGGGCGGGGGGGCTTCGCTTCCGACGGTCCCAGAGGCCCCGAGACCGCGTCAAGACGGCTCAAGAGGCTCCCAAGACGACCCCAAAATGGCCCAAGAGGGCGCCCTCCACTTCCTCCTCCTCCTCCTCCTCCTCCTCCTCCTCCTCCTCCTCCTCCTCCCTCCTCATGCTCCTTCCTCGCTGCTCCTCCTCCTTTACCTCTCCCTCCTCCCTCATCCCTCCCTCCCTCCCCTCCTCCCCTCCTCGTTTCTCCCTCCTCGCCCCTACCTCTTGCCTCCACCTTCCTCCCTCCTTCCTCGTCCTCCCTCCTCCATCCTCTTCCTCCCTCCTCACAAAAGCCAAAATCAGCCTCAGGACGGCCCCTTATGAGATCCACAAGATGTGGAGACGGAAGACGCAGCATATAATAGGCCTACCTCTCCCTTTTCACACCATCCCATCATAACCGTCGGTCATCACCATCCCAACCACCAACACCAGGTCAACGTCATCATCATTTTCATCATCATCAACATCATCAGTGTTATCATCATCATCATCATCATCATCATCATCATCATCATCATCACCATCACCACCACCACCACCACCACCATCATCATCATCATCATCATCATCATCATCATCATCACCATCATCATCACCATCATCATCACCACCATCATCATCACCATCAGCAGCAACAGCAACATCAGCATCATCAGCATCCTCATCATCATCAACATCATCATCATCATCGTCATCATCACCATCCAGAGCGACCCAGATCGGCGGCACTGGCCTGAGGCCAGCACAATCCAGCCTGGCCAAGACTCGAGCCGAGCCCAGCCATGGTGAGGAGCAGCAGCCGCGCAGCAGTGGCTTATGCCAGTAGACATGGCGCGGACTGAGAGGAGGGGCAATCTGTATGATTCTGGCGCAGGGGAAGTTCATTTTGGAATGACAAATGGGAGGCTGTAAAGCAACCACCGAAACCACAGGCTGTCTCTGCAAGATCCTGATGGCCCACAGGGCCATACGGATCGAGATTGGCGCACATTGAGGCCAACAGATCAGCTGTGCGGCGCGAGGCTCTTCACAGTCGACGTGGGAACCAACGTCTGAAAGCGCTAGAAGCTTCAAGTCCTGCGCGGCTCGAATTAGGTGAGTCATGCAATCATGCAACTCGAGTCCCGAAGAAGGCCAGGGTATGGAGGGCGAGGACACGGGGAGGGCTAGGGAGATACAGATCCGCAACAAAAACAACCTCCACCAAAATCCACGAGTCCCTGTCGGGACTTCCAAGCTCTGAGCATGTTTGGAGTACAGCGCTGCTGCAATCAGCATGCCCTGAACCTTGAGGAAGGATGTCGTTTCCTGCAACTCTACTCACAGCCGTTTTCTGGGCGTTGCCCATTATCCCACCATGGCTTGGGACATCCCGTCAGGACGGCTGGCCGCGAAGCGTAGTGAGCCGAGCGCCGAAGAGAATGAGAGCCCCACGGAGGCCGCGCGCTGAGTCCTGCAAGATTCCACCAGCCCAGGGGGCAGAAGTGGTCGAGATTGTCCCGCATTGGGGTCAACAGGGCGGCAGCTGCGGGCCTCGAGGCTCGTCGCGCTTTGCAGGACTACGTCACGCGAGATGCACCTACAAGCGCTGCAGGTTGTCGGCCGCCAACTCGTCACTGACGAGCTCGCGGGCCCCGTGCGCATGGAGGTCATCGCTCATGTCGTCCTTCTGCTGCAGCATGTCCGCACACATCTTGTCGAAGGATGAAGCAGAGATGAGGTGGCACTTGCGGTCGACCTGCCAAGTGATGGGGCTGTACGCGGAACACATCTCGTTGTCGCGGCTCGTGCCTGTGGTCGAGCCCGTGTAGTAGGCGATGTCTGCGCCGAAGCCTTGGGCGCCGAGCGGGTCCATGATCATGCCCCTCATCAGGTCGGGGTAGAAGTAGTCCTCGTCGTTGACGATGACGAACACTTGCGCCTGCACCCCGACCTTGTGCTGAAGCTCTCCGGCAAGGTAGGTCGCCCCCCTGCAGAAGACTCCATCGTAGAAGGGCGTCTGGTTCTGAAACGGGGTGCGCAGGCCCGGCGGCCGAGTGCGCCAGTGCACCTCGAAGGACTCGCCGACGTTGCATGCCGACGCGTAACGCCACTCGTACCCGGTTGTGACTTACAGTCGTGATTCTCGTGATGTGGTGCACTGGAAGCCGAGGCGCTGCGGGCTACTGCCAGGCGCCGCGTCAGTCCTCTGCGCCATCATCCTCCCGGAAAAAAATTCCGGCCGGTGCCGTCCTCGTCGAACTGGCCCACAGGAAAGGTGCACGGCTCCGATAGTGCCGAGTGCACGTTGACCGGGCAGAGGCCCCCCTCGAGGTACGTCAGGTTCCAAGGTGTGGCATCGACGGCCATGCCGCCCATGTAGCCCTCGGTGACATTGGCGCCGGCCTGCTCGACGGCACCAACGATTGCGTCGGCGCAAGGGAAATTGTCGAAGCCGGAGGCCGTCGGCTTCGTGCCTTCGCATGGGTTGGCCGTGGTGATGACGCTCGTGTCTGGCGCCGGGATGATCTGGTAGTTGGCGACGTCGAAGGTTGCATCCGGCTGGCCGCAGCACCCCGCATCCTTGTACATGTCCTTCACAGCCCCGCACGTGTAGCCAGCGGGGCCATCGGCGCCGAGGGCCATCGGCACCGAGCCGAGCGCCGCGAGCCACCCCAGTGCGGCGGCGGACTGGTGCTTGTGGCCGGACAGCGCGAGCGCGAGCGAGAGAACCAGCGGGGCGGACCTCGACGCGCCGCTCGTGGGCAGCTCCTCGTCGGGGTCCGTCGTGGTTGCGTCGCACAGGTCTGAGTCGGCGTCGTCTGGGCAGCCAGTGCCGAGCGCGGGCCACATGAGCACCCCGAGCAGGACCGCCGCCGCCAGGGGGGACTTGCGTGCCGAACCCATACTGGCGCTCTGGTGCGCCGGGATCCTCTCTCGCGCACTCTTGCCAGAAACAGCTGAGCCGAAACGACCACGGAGGGTCGTGGGATCCTGCTACCCTTTCCAACTCTCTCCAGGGTCGACGACGCTCAAGGGGGACCCCGGATCCGTGGCAAGGGGGCAAGGTCTCCAGGACCTCCCCCTCTCACCGCGCGAACTCCCCCCTCTACAGGTGGACGACCTATCCTTGCACATTCCAAATCCAAAACGACAGAGAGCAGAGTTGTGGCTTCCGTCCCGGTGGGCACCCATTCCCTGACACCCTCCAGCTCCCCACAGGCCGCTCCAAGATATCCGCCGACCCGGCGTGTGAGTTTCTGAGAGCGTGGACTTGAGCTCGCTCAAGCTTCGCTCTGCAAGAGGGGGGGGGGACGCCATTCACGACGCCATTGAGTGCTCGGGAGCCAGCGGGGGGTCGCTCTGCAAGGGAGGGGGGGCGCCATTCCCGACGCCATTCGGTGCTCGGGAGCCGCGGGGGGGGTCGCTCTGCAAGGGCGCGGGGGGCGGGGGACGCCATTCCCGACGCCTTTCAGCGCTCGGGAGACAGGGGGGGTCGCTCTGCAAGGGGGGGGGACGCCATTTCCGACGCCATTCAGTGCTCGGGAGGGTTCGCTTTGCAAGAGGGGGGGTGGACGAGTGCTCGGGAGCTGGGTGGGGGTTCGCTCTGCAAGGAGGGGGGGGGGGACGCCATTCCCGACGCCATTCAGTGCTCGGGAGCTGGGCGGGGGGGTCCTCTGCAAGGGGGGGTGGGGGGGCGCCATTCCCGATGCCATCGGTGCCGGAGGTGGAGGGGAGTGCGCTCTGCAAGTGGAGGGGGGGGACGCCATCTCGAAAGATCCATTCATGCTCAGGGAGCCCGGCGGGGGCCCAGGGGTCGCTTTCTGCAAGGGGCCGGGGGGTGGACGAGCTGCTCGGATACGGGGGGGGGGGCTCTGCAGGAGAGGGGGTGTGGGACCCATTTCCCGTCCCTTTCATGCTCGGAAGCCAGGGGGGGGAGGTTCGCTCTGCAAGGGGGGGGGGGGACGCCATTCCGGACGCACTTAGTGCTCGGCCGAGCTCAAGACGCTCAAGAGGTTCCAAGATGACCCCAAAATGGCCCAAGAGGGCGCCCAGCCCT